CTGCCCAGCAGAGCAGGGAGAGGTTCCCACCCAGCACAGCTGGCTTTGGGGATGGCCAGGGCATGGGGAGGAGGAGAGGGGTGACCACACCAGAGAGGAGCTTTTCTGCTCCCATCAGGGTGTTTTCTGACAAGCAGCAAACTAAACAACAAATAAACCACAGCCTAATTCGGGATCTCAATTACCATCTGTTGGATTTACTGACTGCAGCGCTGTCTCTGCATTTTCCAAGTTTAGCACAGAAACCCAGGCAGGAGAAGCAAAGCCACTGCTGGCTCGCGGCACAGAGGATGAACTTGCCTCGAACTCCTCATGCTGATATTTATGAAATGTTAAATCTTCATTTAAAAATGTTCCCTTAAGCTGGGTGACATGGCAATGAGTACGACCCATCACTAGCTCGGAGTCTCTGTTGCATAATAAGATTTAAGGTTTATGACCTACAAACAATCACTTGGTGGCTCAGGACAGGCTGCAGGGAGCCGCCTCACACACGGAATTATTGGATTCCCAAATGGAGTGATTTGCGTGTGGCACATCTGGTCTACGACCGCCAACGAATGAGTCTATGGGCTAATATGGACGAGTAACAGGCTGATGGAGAAACCATGATTGTAAAATGATTTGAAAAATATCTTAGGTTCTTTTGGATACAAAATAAAAATAAGAGAATACGGTTATAGTCAGTGTTTCAGTTCCTAGGGGGGGTTAATTTGAATTAAAAAAGGTCAGTTTTACTATCAGCATAAGAGCATGTGCGGGTTCTTGTACAGAGGGTATAGGTTGCCTACAGCCGGCTTCAATTTAAACTTCCAGATAATGGGATTTAACGAATAGGGCTCTATGGATCCAAGCCATCAGCAGCTCTCTGCTGTGTTATCCCTACGCTTTCAATCAGACCAAGGCTCTGCTTTTATCTGCCACGCTCGTTCGCGTTGATGGTGCCTATAATATCAACTCGACAATGCATGTTCTACAACTACATCTACTGCTACCAGTACGACTACTACAGTGCATGCATTTAGTTCAGTCCCACAGATACATACACTCTAAGAACAGGCAAGGGGAGATGTGAAATGTTTTACGGGACGACAGGTGTTTTGTTTTTTAAGTAAGGGAAATTAATAAAAAACATCAAAAGAAAGAAAGTGTACAAAAAAATAGAGACATTTCTCAAGAGTTGATATGAGTCGTTTCTTGAACCGTTTCGTCCGAACAAGCAAAAAACATGCAACCAGCTGCTACTAACAAGAAGCTGGACACTGAGAGAGGATTAATAGGTGTGGACAAACCTTCCCGCTGAGAGCGCTCAGAAGAGTGTTTGAGAGGAGGTGTGCACGTCCGAGTGTAAGAGAGGCCGGAAAGTTTGCCTCAGAGACACCCTCTCTCACAGCAGCCCCAACCAAGCAAGAGAGAAAACAACAAAACATAACTGCTCACACTCACCATCAAGGTCAGTAGCTCACGTTACGAGATTTGTTATAGCTGGCAAGTATAAAGTCCAGTAAGGGGTTGTTGGGGCGCAGGGCTCAAAGGCAGCACTGGCAAGCCGGGACTGGGGCCCAAAATCCAGATGTGCCAGGGGTTGGGGTGGGGAGCAGCCCCTGGCGCCGTGGCGCTGCGCCGAGTGCCGCCGGCCGGCTCGGCGGGCACAGCCTGCCCGAGGGAGCTGGGACAGGGCTGGATTCCTGTGGCCTTAGGGGTTTTGTCTCCAGTCCTCAGGGAGGAACAGCTGGTAGCAACAGGTTGGGAACTGGAAAAATCTCAGGCTTGTCAATGAACCAAAGAGGAAGGAACGAAAACCCTCTCCTGCCAAATTTTCCTCGTCTCGCTCTCCTGCCAGATGAACCCCTCCCATGTCAAATGCAAGAGAAAAATGTGCCCCCCCCATGACTGTATTTCAAAAAAAGCATTTACACGACAAAAATGTTTTACACGTAAAATATGTCAGGTGGATTCAAAAGAAACGTGACACTGATAGTGAAGTTGTCTAGGAGGAGTTTGCAGCATTCAGACTTTTAACTTTGCTCGTTTTCCGTGGCTCAGGTCCCAATTCATTAAAAAAATACAAGAATGGGTGAGGTTGTCAAAACCAGTGGAGGGATTCGGCAGCACAGCCCCACCCGGAGCGAATGGATGTGGCCAGAGCTGTGTCTGCTGGAAGGACCTCAGCTGTCCCCTCATCACTGGGATGTCAAACGGGGACGTGATTTATGCCGAGCAGCACGGCCGCGCTCACCCTGCCGGCACGCGAGCAGCCACGCGGGACGGGGATTTATGGTGGCACTGAGCACGGGCACAGGGACACGGCCCTTTCTGCTGGCTGTAGGACAGACCTGCCGTGACACAGAAGAACCTGTTTATCTAGCAAGGTCAGCTGGTGACACGCTGCCATAGAAAAAGAAAGGGTGAGGGCAGGGAGGAGGCCCCGAGCAGGTACCTGCCCCCAGCAGGCTCCCTGCTGACTCAGCAAACATGCAGGTGTGTCCCAAGAGGAGGAATGTCACCCCAGGGACAAAGCAAGGGGGCCAGTGCCCAGGGGCTTGGAGTGAGAGGGCTGCAGCTTCCCGGGGAGAACAAGACACGCACTGAAGGTGGATGCTCTCTGAGGGTGCTCAGTCTCTGTGCTGGCACTGACGCCAGGAAGGTGGGGAAGAGCCGGCGGGACGGGGCCAGAGAGCTGCTGAAGAGGCAGCAGTGATGGGGACATGGATGACACGGACTGCCATCAATGCCTTCCAGGAACCTCCTGGCCAATGCTTGCTCTGTGCTGTGCTCCAGCAGCCCTGGGCAGAGCTCTCCCAGTGAGCTGGGGGTGGTGGGACGCGCCTGCCCGGGTGTTTGCCAGCTCTTTCCCATTTCCTGGCAGAAAGGGGCCAGTTAGGGCCAGCCGTGCTGTGCTCTGTGCTTTGGACCAGGCACGTGTGAAGGAGGGTTGTGCAAATTTGTGAAGGGAAAACAAAAACCCAACTGAAAAGGAAAGAAGGAAAAACCCCAGCCATTTTTCTTGTAATGAATCGGGCCCGTACACTGCAGCGCAAGATCGATCGGACTCCACTGCTCCTGGATACAATTCACTACCATTGCTGATGGAGTGGCAAACCCAGGATGTCCCTTCCAAAACCAGCTCTGGATGGAGATGACTCTACAGAAACCCCCCCGTTCCCAGACCAGGCTTGGTGCAGATGTGAGCGGGGCCAGTGACAAACCCACCTTCCTCCTTGAGACCTCAGGGCTGGGGCAGGACGGGGGCTCTTTGGATTCAGTTTTGGGGTTTTTGCCAGTTTTGTGCACGCAGGCAATTTTGAGGCTTGAAAAGACATTTCCAAACACCATACTGCTCTTTAAACTTGCCAGAAAGGGTGTTGTTAATTTAGGGTTAGATTTAGTTTCGTATTGCAAGTTCAAATCAAAAAACAAAAAAACTGAAAAAACAAATCAGAAAACCCAACAAAAGAGAAACCAAAAAACACTCAAATTAAAGACAAATGATTTTCAGGCACAGAATTGATCAATGCTCAGTTCAGTTGTAATGGGCACCAAAAGCACTCCGATTAAAAAAAATAATAATAATAATCAGGGAAGCAACGTTAATCCAGCCAAACCCTCTGTGCCTTGCTAAGGGGCAACTCACCAGGTCTGTTTGCACGTAAAACAAAACCTGAAGGGCAAAACATGAGGAAGAGGCAGAAACAATGAGGTCTGTTTTCCTGGAAGCATATGCAAAAGCAATCTTGGCATTTGTTTGGGTTTGGGATGGTTTTTTTTTCCCTCTTTGGGTTTGTTTTTCCCCCTCTGTGCCGGGGCAGTAGGAGAAGCTGGGAGTTGGGGGATCCCCACAACCAGGCTGGCAAGTCACCCCTTAGGCGCTCTCTACATGCCACAGGATGGAACTGGTACAGAGAGTCCTTTGTAGCCTGCAAGCAGTGCCAGTTTGCATGGAACGGAGTTCTCCTGGTGTCTTTCTCTGGCCTCACGGCCCCAGGCTCCTGCTGAGACACGCCTGGGCCTGCGCCCACCTCTGCTCCCTCACGCAGCTGGGGCTTTTCGGGAGCGCCTCCTCAACCCCGGCACTGCCCGAAAAGCCACGAGAGCGCCCAGCGCAGCCCTGAGTGAGCTGGGAGGTGCTGCCAGCCCCGTGTCCCCTGGGGACACGCTGGCACAGAGGACACGGGGCTGGCAGCGGCTCTGTGCCCGCAGCGGCTCCATCCCGGCCTGCTGCGGGAGCCCACGGCTCGCTGAGGGCTGCTCTGAACTCTGCCACCTGAGCAAAGTGCTGATTCACATCTTTAGCAAAATTTAAACCTAAGGCAGTAACGGCAATTGGCAACGATTTATTTCTTTATTTCCCTTAAGGGGAAAAAAAAAAAAGTAAAGAGTTTTCAGAAGGACAGAAGAAAAGCTTTGTGGTTCCTCATGGAAGCGGTGGAGTTGGAGCAGGCAGGGATGGTGAACTGTCAGCTGTGTGCTGGTGACAATGGCACCAGTGATGCCAGCCCAAGATGCCCTGTGCTGGCCATGGTGGAGGAGGTGACAGCAGCTCTGGGCACGGCGGGAGCACCCAGAGCTGCTGCCACCACCTCAACCCAACCCCAGCTTCCTGTGAGAAACCAAAACTTTTTTTCTGAAAACAGAAATTGATCTTTTTTGGGGTGTCTTTTAGAGCCTCGAATTTAAACCCAACAAATAAAGAAACCAACGCAATAAAGGAATAAAGAAAGAAACAAATTGGAATATCTACCCTGGTTTTGGCAGTTCTCATGCCAATCTCCTGCAGGTGCTCCAGCCCCCGTGGCCTCTGCTTGTAGTTTGGGTTTGGATTGGGATTGATTACTTATTTTTTCTCTAATTTTTTCATTTTGATTGATTGTTTTCAGGTCCCCAGGATAAGTGTGAGGAAAATCAGAGAAATGATGGAGAGCTGCAGCCACACAGAATACCGACAGAGCTTTTACCTGACCCTGCACTCTGAGGGTTTGCTCTTCCACGGGCCCCCCTACCTGATCCTCTTGCTGCCGCCACGGCTGCCGCTGCTACTGGTCCGTAAGCCGCTGCTGGGAAACCTGGCCGTGGAGAAAAGGAGAAGGGTAAAGACACAGGCCAGTGGGTACCACGAGTCCCTGAGGGCCACGGGCACCTGGAGCTGCCAGCCTGGCCCTCCGTGCCACCTGGGACAGCCCAGCCCTGGCCAGTGCCCGCTGCGGGCACAAATCCCCTGGGCACAGGAGGAATGGCCATGGCACAGCCTGGAGCCAAGGAGGACAGGCTGGAGGCACAGCCTGCAGCTCTCAGCTCGTGCCTCCATGCTCCTGCAGGAACAGGGTCAGCCTGCTCCACAAACAACCAGGGAATTCTCCTCCTGGCTTATCTGCAGGTGATAATAATGTGCTGGTCTATAGACAAAGCAGGAATGGAACAGATGAGGAGGTGCTCATGTCAAGATCACAAATTTGCTGGGATCAAGCAGAAAAAATTCAATGGAATGTGGTTTAAGAAAGAAAGAAAGAAGGAAAGAAGGAGAGAAGGAAAGAAGTAAAGAAGGAAATGCTCTTGAAAGCAAACCAGCCGCAGATCAAGGAGCTCTATGACATCCCCCCTGCTCCAGGGAACCGAGCCCTTGCAGAGGAATGGAATGCTGCCAGCAAGATTTATTTAATTAACATTCAAAAGATCTGCCAGAGATTGTGACTTTCAATAAATGTATTTTAAGAGGGCAATGGCAAAGTCCAGGCAATCAGCAAGAACCCCAAACCCCAAGGGCAATGACTCCAGGGAGGTTCCTGGTCCCTGGGAGCTCCAGCTGCTCCTGCCACCCGACAGGACAAGCCTGGGGTGGCCACCACAATGGAACCTGGTCCTTGAGCAGGCACCAGGACCACGATCACAGCTGCTTTGCAAGGCTGAGGAACCACAGGAGAGCAACTGAGGCACTGAGAAAGAGAAGAGTGAGCCTGAGAGCAAGAGAGAGAGCCCAGCACACTACAGCCCCACTACCTTCAGCACTATGGCTCAGCTACAGCTCAGCTACCAGGCCAAGGAGCAGAGCACTAGGCTAGAATAACTTGAAGCTACTTAAAACATCAATCAAAAAAAGACATACTTGCATTTAAATATGGTAATAGGGCTGTTGGGGGGAAAAAAACATAGCACAGGTGAATGTATGCAGAGGATCCCCAGGGTGGTGGTGCTCCCTGCAGTGCACAGAGAGCAGCACTGCACAGCCAGCCTGGTCCTCTGGTGAGCCTGTCTGCTGGTAACTGCTGCAGCCTCCGTGGAGTGGCATGTGGGGGAAGCACATCCACACTGGGGGATGCTGTAACCAGTGCTGAACTCCCTCTCACTGGATGGAGCCATCAACCCTGGCTGGGTCCCCCCACACATGATTTGGGCAGGAGTGAGAGGACTTTGGTGTTAAGAGTCAAACCACCCTCCAAAGAGCAAGGAAAGCATGTGCAGGACAAGGGCTGAGGCTCTGGGGCTTCATTTCCATGCAGAGCCGTGTCTGGGCCAAGCTCTGGGCCCTCCCGCTGCGCTCAGGCAGGAGCAGAGCTGGCACTGTCCCCTGTCCCTCCCTGCCCACCATGGTCCAAGAGCAGTGTCCTCAGCGTTCCCATGGCACCTCCACCACCAGCTGGCCACCCACAGATCTCTCATTTGGAGGCTCCAGGGGCTCCCTAAACCATCCACAGGGGACTGGAGGAGCTGTGGATTTTCCATGGAATAAAATGCCTCTGCCAAAACCAATCAAATACCCTTCAAATCACCAAGCATCCCTTGAGAACAGCACAAAAAACAGGGCTGGAAAGTTTGTTTCTCTTGTTCAGCTGCCAGGGACACTCAGGATCTATTTGAAATGCAGGACAAAAAGTTTTGCCATGCAAAAGAAGAGTGAAATAACAAGGGTGGAGAAGGCGCTCCACGGAAAGAGCCTGAACAAAGGCTCCCTTATTGCATTCCAGTGGACAGATGTGTGAAAAATTAATCCCTGTGCCCCCGAAGAAAGCTTTTATCCCAGTTCTGAGATAAAAGCATCCCTGAGACACGGCACTCCAAACAGCTCAAGTGTGAGTGCTGCTCTCTCCGTGCGGGAGCGCCGCCGGCCCCGCGAGCCCGAGATGGAAACTGGGATTGATTACCAAGCTTGGCCAAACCCTCCCCACTGACACACTCACAGGATGGCTCCAGCACTGGAGGAGCCCCCCAGCAACCCAGCCCACTGAAAGCAATCGATGCCCTGCTAAAATGCCCTTTGCCAGGCACCACATCCACAGGCTGGCTCAGCTGGGAGCAGCTTCCCTGTCACTGCTGCTGAGCCACTAATGCTGTGCGACCTCCACCACTGTGCCACCTCAGTGTGGCACCTCTGTGCCTCCCTGACCCCCTCAGCAGAGATGGGCAGCTGACACCACCCTGCTCTGCCTGACAGGGATGCCAGCAAGGAGAATTTGTAGCCAGCAGTGACAGAACAGCCCCAGTGCCCCTCTTTTCCCTCAGCAATGCCTGGGAAGTGCAGGCATCTCCAGGAGACAGCAATGGCACTGGGGATGCTGCTGTGGGGACACCCCCAGGAGCACAGAGGGCTGTGGGGTGCCAGCAGCCCCTCTGCTCCCTGCCCCAGCTGCCTCCCAGCTCATTTTAACAAGCAGCTCGGAGCCAACTGGGTGCCAGCAATGGGTGCCTGGACAAGAGCGCCTCGAAGCCAAGGGGAGCACTGATGGCAGCACCCCTGGGTCCCACCCTGGACAATCAGGAGCATGGCCAGCACCAGCCCCACTCCCTCTGAGCCTTCTGGAGTCACCCAGAAAATCAAAAGGGTGGAGGGAGAGCTCAGTTCATTCCCAGTGTTTGTTTAAAGCGCTGATTCCTGCTCAAATGACCCCTGTGCTTTGTGTGCCCACTGCCCCCAGCTGCCCAGAGGAAACAAAGCCCAGAGCCATTGCAAAGCCAGCAGTGCCCACTTTAAGCACTGCAATTAGAAGGTATTTTACAATAAACGTTTTGCTCTGGGCTCACACACTGTCCAGGAAAGCCCTGAGGATTCACAGCAATTTCATGCTCTCTCATTGCTCAGAATGAGCCAAAACCAGCGTTCCAAGTGCAATTTTTCACAGATAAATTTTCCTGCTTCCTGCATCAATAGTTTCACTTTAAACAGTGAAACAGTGAGGGAAGATGGACAGATCTGGGTTAAATTCTTTGCCCTGAGCTCCCAGACTCAGTCCATGGCTGTTGTCTCTCCAAGGCACAGGTGGGTTTGGGAGAGGGGGATCCCAGGATGCACAGCCCTGCAGCAGCACTTTGGGCTGGAGCACACAGCCCCACTGCCCTGCTCTGGGCACTGCAGTGGGAGCCCAGGATTTAGCAGATTTCCAGGGGCTTTGTGAACAAATCTGGCAATGCTGCCTGAGAGGGCCAGTCTTCACACGGGCTTTAGGGGCTCACAGATCTCTGCCCTGCTCCATCTCCACTCCTTCTTCAATCACTGAGTTCTCCTGCCCTCCAGCCTGGGCTTGGCTACAAGGCAACCACAAGGGAAAAACCCAAGAACCACCTGCACCCCTTCCTGCTGCCAGGACCCTCTTCCTGCAGCTCTGGCTCTAAGGGAAATCACTGACCCCTTCAGCCCTCTGATCAGCCTTTGCACACCCCATCCTTAAAGCACATACAACCCTGTCCTTGACAACCACTCAGACAACAGCAATCAACCCAAAAAAGGGCACAAAGATCACAAAATTAATCTTTACATCAAGAAATGTCATGCAAAGAATTTCTTCTTAATGGCAAAAGCACTCGGGCACCTGAGGTTGCATGCTCAGACTTCAGCAATGAGCACAGGGATTTAAAACAAGAAAATGGAAGCTGAGATGCCCAAATCACCACCTGGCTTCAGAAAATAGCCAAAATCATGGAACAGGCACAGAGAATTAAATAAAAGCCACCATGAAACTGCACCTAAGCAGCAACCCCGTTGCTCTGTGCTCACGGGGAGTTGGGAGTGCTCACACATAAGCAGTAGACTGGTCTGTGCAGGGTCTTTTGGGGGTCCCTGTGCTGAGGGCATCGAGCTCAGAGGCTCCTTCACCCCCAACACTTCACTCCTTACACCCCTGGTGCTCCCCAGTGGCTGACCTGAACCCCAGCCCTGCAGGAGCATCACTTGATCTCCCAGGAGAGAAGTGCAAAGGCTGGAATGTGAATTCATGTGCAGGCTGAGTGGGGAAGGGAGCTGGGGGGCTGATCCCCCCTTTTCAATCAGAGTTCCCAGGGGCTGATCCCCCCTTTACTCACAGAGCTCCCAGGGGCTGATCCCCCCTTTACTCACAGAGCTCCCAGGGGCTGATCCCCCCTTTTCAAGCAGAGTTCCCAGGGGCTGATCCCCCCTTTTCACACAGAGTTCCCAGCAGCTTTGATCAGCCTGAAAAGCTGCACCAGGCTCACAGCTGTCATTTCAGATGGGTTCTCGCTTGCATTATTCTTTCCATTAGGCTGTGTTATCCTTTTTGGAGGATCTTTAGGCTTCATTTCAAAAGTATCAGAGACTCAAAACCATGAAGCAGAAGAGCCTGGTAGTTTTTTTTTTGAAGGCAGGCAGGCGTGGGTCCAATTTACCGGGCAAAAATGTCGTCTTTAATGGTGAACACACACAAGGGAAAGCTCCATCCCAAAACAATCCCTTTATGTTTAAAACCTTCATCTTCCAGGCTCTCTGTCTCACACTCCCCCTCCCTTTCTATAAGGAAACACAAATGAGAAAGAAAAAAAACCTGCTACTACTCCAAGGTTGAGATGAAGAAGTCAGTGCTGAATATTTAGAGAAGAACATACACCCAGAGAAATCAAATGTTCCCTAGAACTGATCAAAGATCGGGGTTCTACCACATCATTCACAACTCATTACCACTGTTTAGTAGCAATTAACTCCTTGGGATTTGATTGCAGACTCTGTGAAGCTTTCTCAAAGTTTGCAGAGTCTATGAAGCTTTCTCCATCCACAGCACAGCTGAGGAACAGGACCCAGTACAGCAGGGCAGAGCTCCAGGGAAACAGGACAATACTTTCCTAA